GTCTGGGTCGTGACAGGTGTCATGTGCAAATTTGCTGAGGGTGCACTCGATCCCACTATGTCACTGATGAAGATATTGAACAGTACCGGTCCCAGTACGGACCCCTGTGGAACACCACTTGTCACCAATCTCCATCTGGACATGGAGCCGTTGACCACTACCCTTTGGATGTGACTGTCCAGCCAATTCCTTATCCACCGGACAGCCCACCCATCAAATTCATACCTCTCCAGTTTAGAGAGAAGGATGTTGTGGGAAACCGTCAAAGGCCTTACAGAGGTCCAGACAGACGACATCTGTAGCTCTTCCCTTGTCCACTGATGTAGTCACTCATCATAGAAGGCCACTAGGTTGGTCAGGCAGGACTTGCCCTTGGTAAAGCCGTGCTGGCTGTCTTGAATCACCTCCCTGTCCCACCAAGTTTCAGTAATGGCAACTAGATCATAGCTTTCTAGCAGCATGGTAGCTTCCAACTCCTCCCATTTGTTGCACATGCTGCATGCATTGGTGTAGAGGCACTTCAGCTGGGCTGTCGGCCATGTCACCTTAGAGGAACACCCCTTAATTCCTTTGAGGTATTCCACTAGTGTTCCCCTGTTGGATCCTATTACCTCAGGAGCCCCTGGCTCATCTCTGTAAGACTTCGTATGCTCCAATGTACCCAGCAAGTCTCAGAGCAACAGGCTGAGGGCCCTCGCTAGCACCTCATCCCTCTAACCTTGGCATGTCGTCCCATGGCTTGTCTGTCACAGGCGAGCCTGATATTATCCCCCTCCACCCTCAAGTCTAGTTTAAAGCTCTGTCAGGCCTCCTCAGCATCTCTTGCGAGAGTTGCCGGCTCCTGGCGGGTCTCTCCGCTGCCCTGGTGTTTCCTTGCCTCAGGAAACTCCCATGTGCGCCGAGATCTGCTGCTCTGCCACGGACCAGGCCGGCTCCGGAGCAGCTCGTATCAACAACATTCTGAAAAAATGCTGTTTAAGTAACTTCACTCTTGTCTGGAAGTTGGTTGATTGCACATAAATAGAAAATAAAGCTCGGTTTTGGTGGGGAAGATATTTTGATTCGGTTGAGTACCCACCTCTCACTCCAAATAACTATTTCCTTATGCTCCTTTTGACAAAGTATTTTCAAACCAACCTCCCATCTTTCTGAAGGAATGAAAAACATGCTCGTCTTGCCAATTCACCATTTAAAATAAAAATATGCAGTCCTGACTGATTCAGCTGCACTTGACTCAGCTGAAACGCCTCTGTTGATGTCACTGTTACCTGGGCCACAGTTTGAAGGGGACTTCATTTGCTGAAAGAGCAACAGAGAGAGCACAATTGATTCAGCCCTTCCTACAGGCACCTTCTCAAAGGTCTAAATCCATCCTGTGTCCTAGGACTCTGAGCAAGCGCTATGGCACATGAACTGTACTTGGCGTGACTCCTGAGTGACGCCCATCAAATGCGCCTCTGTCAAGAACAGAAAAATCAGAGAACATTTATTTTTCATAATCTAATTATTCTTTCGGAGTGAAATGCAGGGATTTGCTAAGGCTCATAAGGTTACAAAGGTCTGTAGAAGTCGGGAAGTGTGACGTTTTCACAAATGGCTCATTCTGCCCCTCTTTTTTTCATTTTTTTACATACGCATGTTACAGGAAATTGTGCATTTGACAGCGATGACACCCTGAAGAAGAGCACTGATTAAATCCAGAACACGGTACATATTGTCCTTTTTTTCAGAGAACATTAACAAAAATTGGCAATTCTGTTTTCCAACGTAAGTGGCGTTAGTTTGCATCTCCATCGAAGGTCTGGGGACGCTGCCCAGCACGCAGTTAAAAGCAGGTCCCAGCCACTCCCGTCCATGCGCTAAACCTCTTGGTCAATCATTAAGTCAACGGTGTCGGCTCTGATGAGCGTTCTGTATTGGATTTTCTTTTTTTTTGGTCGTTCACAGTCCGTACTCCCTTCCTTGTGTGTAATAACGACACATCTTGAGACGATTTCTTTTCTGACAAGAAGGGGAGAAAAAAGGACCTCTACGGAGGAGACATCTTTACCGTGGGGGACTCC